TGTTGTGTAATTATAAGTCCTAACGTTTCAGGATTCCGAGGTTACCGTTCGGTACGGCGTAAATCCTCCTGCCCTTTAGGCTATTTGCACAGTCTGACGTTGTGCAAAAATAAGTCCTAAATCTTAAATAATTTGCAGGATTGAAACATCAAATAATTATCTCTTCAAAGACATAAAGCCAAACAATAGGATAGTTAGGACATCTCTGGGGTTTCTCCTGGATCTGTGATGTCCCCTACTTTTCTTTCATTTGAATTCCTTAAATAATTGTTCATATTTTGAGCCATTCCCATTTGATTTTCCCATGTCCAATCGTGAAAACCTAAACTTTGAAATCTTGAAAACAAACCACCTGATCTTAATCGAGAGTTTTCTTAAGTGATTTCGATCATTTAAGATGTAATTAACTATAGGGGCTTGCCTCTATAGGGAACCAGGAACCCAGATAAAATAAACCCTATCTAATTTTTTATGTTAGATAGGGGAACTTGTTGGCCTTTTTATAAAAATATTTCGCAGACCAAACGGATGTCACAAATTGTTTAGTTTAGATGATTGAATCCCTATTACAAGTGATATATTTGATCTTCGGGATAAATATGTTGCTTGTAGTATTGTATTAAATCATCTAAACTATTTAAAAGGTGAGACTCGTTTGGTCTCACTTATTTTAAAAATTAAAATGTTATATTTAAAAAAATAAAAAAAGGTTATATTTATATTTAAATTATTTTTAAAAGCACAAAATCATCACTCTTTTTCAAATCACGAAGGTTGGACAATAAAACGGCCGACAAAGCCCTGCCAAGTCGGCAGAGGGCAAGAATGACAAGCTGAAGACGGTTAGGAACCGAAGAGACCAAACACTCGGTGCTATCGAGCTGAGCCGAGAAGGAAGACGAAGGAGGAAGACGAGCACACAACCCCTTCTAGTCTTCTGTGAGTGAGAAAGACGAAGGAGGTTCACGTCTTCCGTAAGATGTGAATCGATGAAATCGAACAGAGACGACGCAGCAGATGCGAACTATGTCGGCTTCGAATGTCGCAGATGAGAGCCGCAGTCGATGTCAAAGCAGCGCGAGCCGACAACAATGAAGAGGACGAAACGACGCCGGAGAAGAAATGTGAATATATAACCTAAAGACTAATATATTAAAGAGAAAAGATACAGATAGGTTGTATGAGTGGGCCAAAAAATAGACACTCAACCCACATGGTACAACACATAAAAATCAAAATTGGTACATATAAAAATAAAAAAAACCCAAAACCACCAGGGCGCTAAGGGTCATCCCAATTTAGTTCTGCCTCTCCCTCTAGTTCTCGGAAGGGATCCAACTTACAAATTTGTAAGATGCGTACCATTACCTGAAGTAACCAAAGTATCATCCCTAAGACTCCTGAGCTCAAACAAATCTCCATTCTTTTTCTTCCTCCTGGAAGTGTAAACTTGTCATTCTTCATCCAAAGAATCAGTTTGGTGAGGTGGTAGAGCTGTAGCAGAAGAATTACCAACCGTAGTACCCACAACAAGTTCTAGTATATGTGAAGCATGAGTTGCCTCTACACCAGATACTTCTAGAAGATGAGGAGCTGCGAGGTTCTCCTGATTATCAGTCTGAACACTATTCTTTATAGGTAAAAATTCTTCAATATTATTTTCTATAGGGTTTGAAGGTGTCAACATCACATCAATCGCAGTAACAGTAACAACAGTGTCAGGGGGGTCCACAGGGGCAACAAACACCTCCTGTCTGGCAGTATCCTCTTCAGGTGGAACTGAAATATTCGAAGCAGTAGTGTTAGACACATCCTCATCCACTTGAACTTTAGATTTCAAATTAGGATGAAACTTATGACATTTATTAGTGATATACCCAAACATCTTACAGTGGGTACAATATGGAGGGCTGGGTTCCATGACAATTTGTTGTCAATATCTATTATGAGTTGTGCCTAGACAGACTTCAGTAACATCAGGTAAAGTAATATCTCTTTCTACAAGTATTTACGTCACAGAAGGTCTGGTTAGGTTGAAAGTGGGTACATCTAGCTTCATAGGATCCCCAAGTATTGCACTAATAGAGTAAAGAACCTGATGATGAAAAAAGTGAAGCTTGAGACCTGGTAGACTAATCCAGACCAGTACAATAGGAGATTCATGATTAGGGTCGAAATTGGAAGACCACTTAAGTAACTTTATTAACTTTCCTGTAATGATAAAATATTTTTTGGAGAAAATTCATGTGTAATCTTCAACCACAGTTAATTGGATCAACACATGTCTCTCAACTATGAGCCTCACTTTCCACTTTCCTGTCCTACAAGTTTAAAATTATCAAAACTTTTTCTGATAACTTCCATCGGTGGGTGCCCCCACTGAAATTTCCCAATGAGAGCGAATTTGAATTTCTCAGTGAGGGTAGAAATTTTTAACATAGGAAAAAAATATTGTTTTCCCACTTTTCCTATTTGTATTCTTAACAAATGAGCAATCACCTGTACCATCACCATAATCTTTATAACTTGAGGGGAAGACAACCGCCGACTCCCCTTGAGGATTACCCACCACGTGGGCAAAGAAAACTTTGACAAGATCAAACGAAGAAGAAAGCGCCATGAGAGTAGGAAATCCATCTGTTAGAGGATCTCAAAGGAATTGCTGCCGGCGAATAAATAAATTGTTATCATGCTCTAGAAATTCATTCATGTAGAATCATCTTGCAAATGCTTTTAATTTGTAACTATCAAATATATATATATATATATATATATTTTGAAAAACCCAAGAGTTGATTTTATTGAAATAGAAAATATACCTAAAAGTTGTATGAGAGGGCCCAATAGAGGCACCCTACCCATACAATACCAAGTACAGTAATACCCAACAAAAAGATACAGAAAACTAAAAAAATGAAAACATGCAAAAAATAAAAGTTAGGGACGAGCCAGTTTAGTCCTGCCTCTTCCTCTAGTTTTATGAGCAGAGCAAGATAACAAACTTTGAAGTGTCGTGCAATTGTCAAAAGTAACAAATGTATCATCCATTAAATTTTCAAGTCGGAGTGTTCCCCCAGCTTTCTTCTTCCGCCGAAAAATGTAAACATGTCATTCTTCATCAGAAGGCTGACTCGAGTGATCATCGGTCTAATTTAGAACCTCAGTAGAAGGAAAGGCAGTCATTGTCACAGCGATAGGTGCCATTGTATTTGAAGTGTTAATTGTCACATTTGCACCTGATGCTTCCTGAATATGGACATTATCTTGAATCAATTAAATAATAATAACCTTAAACACCTCCAACAATATTACCGAATTCACAATTAGTGACCAGAAAATTATAGAGGTGTGAGTTTGCAAGAAGCAAACTTTATTGATGAACCTTTAATGAATATAATATTATGACTATGCAGAGGGTGTGCATGTTATCAATTGAAGAGGCAAGAATAACAATAAGATAATTAACTTATTGTAGTTGTAAACATTGTATGTAAGATGAAATTTTGAGATATGGTAATATTTCAATAACATAAAGTTATTAAAAATAATTTTTTGTAAATTTTGAGTTATATATTTGCCCAAGAGGCGAGGCATCGATTGTGTGAGTTCAAATTGGTCGTCTTGTGTGTAAAAACCTCTTCCAAGTGTCAATTTGAAGTGTCCTTGCCTCCTTGTATGAGCTTGACGAAATGGCGGCTCGGTTTGGTCAAGGGATGTCTATATATATATATATATATTTTTTTATTTTTTGTGGATGCATTATGTTAATGTATGTGGAATTTTAGTTTGGGAGCAAGGAAGAAGAAATACTTAGAATTTTAGATTTTGTCGAAATTTGGGACCAAATAAAACTGTTCATGCTCCTAAGTATGTATGCAAATGCCCCAAAGATCAATGTTTTGTAGATGTTTTGTAGATGTTGCTATCAATAATTATATAAAGTGAACGTAATGCAGTTCATCAAAGAAATCATCTAGTGTCCATATATGACGGTTCCATCACAATGTATGCAATTTTCCTTTTTCTTAATGGTAGATCAGGCAAATGCAGCATTTCACCCAAATTGCAAAAATGCCTATGTTCCCATGCTGACTTATTCGAGCATCTAAGTATTTCTACCTATCTTTCAATTGCACCTAGAACTCTAAAAATTGCGATTTTAGAAAGTAATTGCTTAGCTCTCCTACATAGCCTCAGACATAAAAATTGATAAACAAGTTTATGTTCAATTATTCAAATTTTAGGACTTTGAAATTGACTAGAAAGATTTATGAAGTATAAGTGTACGCACCTATTTGCCTAAGCATACAAAAAAAGAACAACAAAAAAAAACCATCTCGAAGAGCACTGACAGTGAAATGAAGTTCAGCAGAGCATCAATAAAAAGTGAAAAATAATTAAATAAAAAATCTTAATTTTACAGAAATATAACTGAAGATACCTGTAGCCTTTCAGCTTCTTCCCTATCCATGCTAAGCTGTTTCTGTAACTCCTGTATTTTTATGGAGTAATCTGTCTTTTCCCCCTGATTTAATTGCAATAGAAAAGTGGCAAGTTAGAACGTCTTATTCTTAGAACTAGTTCCAATATCCATGTTGGAAACCCAATTCAGCTGGTCTGAAACAGTTGCCAACAAAATAAATGTCAATTGATTTCTAAAATACTGAAAAAAATAAATTTGAATTCAGATGCAAGTATTTTAATAAGACTGTACTAGATGATTTAATAACTATTTAAGATCCATAAAAAAATTAGGTGCTTAACAAATATAATGAGGACTAAACCCTCTCTATTGTCATCACTTTAAGATGTGAAATTGTAGACCATGACAATTATAGCTGGCTTAGTTCATTGGCAATATTTTATGCTCACAGAAATCGCATGGAGAACATATATCATTAATGGAACTTTTAAATACCAATTTAATTATTAGAAATAATTCCTCAGTTTAGGCTACTATGGTATAGGATGACTAAAGTTAAAATAAATGTTGTCCAAGTAAAGTCCCAGTTTTAGATGTCAAAGAAACAAGATGCAACAAGGGAGCCTAAAAGCACAATTCAGGATTACCTGAAGATAAGTCCCTGTATAGGGTCTTTAACAATGAGAGCGAGCCTATAAATGGCCTCTTAAGGTGTTTACTTGCACGGATGCACATTTGCTTAACATGTATTAATAATCATAGACATGGTTCATCACTTTTTATAGAGTGTGCACCATAATACCTATCTATCTATATTAAATATTGATAAATAGTAAAAACTTGCCTTTGTGGAACTCTTTAGTCTTCTAATGAGTACTTCCAACTCTTTGGTCTGCAGAAACCACTAATGTAGATTAGCAAGGAATAAAATGTGGAAACTTCTATAACGATAATATATGTTTAGAAATTAACCTTATGTTTCCTCAACCGCAGGGCAGCTTGCCACTCATTAGATGCTAGTCTTTCTTCATAGCTTCTAAAAAGGCTATCAGAATAATGTGCTAGTTGGAATAAACATTGACATTGTTTTAATGTAGACGCATCATCTTTTTTCTTGCTTGCTTCAGCAAGCTCGACAGAATGTTTTAGGTACTGTTCTAAAATAGTCCTTGAGCTGCACAATTGTAAAAGAAAACTCAGTAACATACATGAAATTGTATTCACCACTACAAACAATAAGAATATAATCCCGAAATAGTAAATTATTACTTGCTTGATCGCGTTTCTGCCAACCACTTCCCAATCAATCTATGTATGTTTGATGCCTCATCTTCGATTTGATGATATTGCAAAAGATATTTTGCAAGATTAATGCCCATACCAGTTTGACCTTGAGCTCTTAAGATTTTAGCTTCTTCAAGCTTTCACAAGAAAACATTAAAATTAGATGAGGAACGGATATTACACATGAGCTTCCATAGTTTGTTTATTACAAACAGAAAGAGAAAAAAAAAATGGAAGCAATAAAAAGGCTGCAAGTAAGCGTTCGTTAAGTTTTCAGACAATCTATGTCAATTGATATTTTATTTTTACTCTTATCGCTATCATTTAGTGGTTTAAAAGTGCTGGCTAATCATATAATAATTATTACCATGTAAATTTTTTTAGATTTAAGCTAAAGGTGCGATTAGATATCAAGCGGAGCAATAACTTAAGAAAAAATGAAATTCCATCTTGCAAAGGATCATAAAGAGAAAATATGGAATCACCGAAATAATAAAATGCAACAGCATTTGCTGATGTACAAGTTTCAACATCAACACAAAAATGCCATGAATAGTGAGGCCACTTAAGAAAGTAATACTAAAATTTGAAGACAATTACGTAAATGAAATAATAAAAGATAATTGGGAAGAAAGAATAAACTGTGAATGACATAAAGGATGATGCAAATTGGTTTAGTTTATCAAATTTATTCCACACATTCAATCACAACAGAGAAAACATAAATTAAAAGCAATTGATATTATACCCTCATTCTGATATAAGTGTGTTGTTTTGTTTCGTTCTCTGTTTGACAAAAGAGAGACTTTAATTCATGTAAAGCAGCAGTCGCTAGAGAGAATCTGGAACCCTGCAAATCGGAAAGAACCTTCTAAAATAATGCATATATTAAAAAAGAGGGGGTCAGAAAAAAAAAAAAAAAAAAAAAAAAAGAAAAAACCTTGCGAAGGGTGGTTGTGGCCTTCAGTAAATGCTCTGACAGAAATTCATTGCAATCTAAAATTTTAAGCATGGCGTGTCTAAATGCAATAGAAGGTTCCAATAACTTCATTTGCATCTGCGCCTGTCTTAGAATGAAACCCCACTCGATGTTCAGCCAGTCCAACTACAGCACAGGGGAAAAATAAAAGTTAGCATGAATTAGCGTGCTATCTAGTGGCTTCAAATACAACACATCAAAATTTAAGCTCATTTGAACTCTGATATATAGAGATTTTGAGATTTTGACTTTTTATGCAATAGATGTAGGCCCGTTAATCAAATTGAATCTACTTGAACCATTTGGAAATATAGCTCAAGGAACTAATACATAATTGAAATAAAACTTTATAACATTAAGTAAACGAATGCTGTAAAGCTATTCACGCTATAGTATGTTGACATAATGATACGAGTGTTAGAGAAATAACTAAAAATTGCCATAACACAAAACGTATAACAAAACAAATAAAAAAATAAATAAGCCAAAGAATGAACCGTCCAGCAGTATAAGAAAATAATAAAGAGGAGCTTACTGGGGCCACCTTGCTTGGGCCCTATTTGATTAAATAGGATTTTAAAAACTCCTACCCACTTGAATATCATTGCCGACAATGCTCTTATTGTTGATCTCCATGCTTGCTCCTCTTTGTGATGTGATTGAAGGCATAAAAAATGACTAAGGAACTTAAACTGACCAAAACAAGAGTCATTGAATAGAGTCACGTGAATTGAGCAATTTGCTTCAATTGCCGATTTGCCATCAGAGATGCTCAAATATCATTTGGTCGAGAAATGTTCCGCGTCAATGTGTCCAGAACATAATATTACTTTAACAAGGCAACTCAATCAATAGAAATAAAAAATTCGTCTCATCTCCCTAAAATTTAAGAGCACATGTCATGAGACCAGCCCTTCCTCCTCCAACAATATTGATACAGAAATAAAAAAAGAAGGGCATAAATTCCATGAGATACCAATCCCCCAAATACTTGCATCCTTCAACTAAAGCATAAATTCAACTAACATGATTCAATGAAAACTGCTAAGGAGATCTCCAAAAATCAGTCTCAAAGCCCATATAGTTCAACACACAATTATATCACCAAAACAACTTTTTACCCTTTCATGCATAGACAAAGTGGCATTTAAGTAAGAAAAACAAAGCAAAGAAAGAAAAGTGTTAGGCAAGTAAATACACAGGATTGAGTGGTAAGCGTGTAAATCTTTCTCTTTTTTTATTTTTATGTTGTGTATGCAGCAAAGAACAAAGTGGAAGGGGAAGAGGTATACCTGGCCGAAGTGTCACCGGGGGGAAGTTCGCCGGTGGGAGGCCCGCTAGAGAAGAAAAGGAGGACGGAGGAGTTGGTATGGGTTGTGAGGGATGTATCGAGAAGGAGGAGCAGCAGTTATGGAGTCGTGCAGTGTAAAAAATGACGGGCTACTGTTGCGTGAACAGAGAGGCGGGATCGAGCGGTCGAGGGAGGCCGAACGAACAAGTCTCGGTGGAGAAGGGAGCCGAAGATTTTGGCGCAGGGGAGGGTTTCGGTACAAAGGAGGAGGCGAGCGGGGTTGAGGAGATGAGACGAATGCTTTCGGTACAAAGGAGGAGGCGAGCGGGGCTGAGGAGATGAGACGAATGCTTTCGGTACAGAGAGGGAATCGAAACGAAGGATGATGTTTCGATGCGTGAGGGAAGAGCCGAATGGCTGTTTGACGTTCAAAAGGGTAAAGAAGGCGTTCGATCGAAGAGAAGAAGAGGCGAGCGGGGCTCTCTGTGCTGAGGTGAGGAGGCGAGCGGGATCGGGATGGAGAGGTGACGTCGAGCGAGCGGGATCGGGATGGAAGCTGACGAGGGTGAGCGAGAGTGAGGAGCGGGTGAGTGGGGGGGGCCTTCGGTCGAATAAGAGGAGGAAGGCGAGCTCGAGAAGACAGGGAGACGAGGCTTCGATGCATGAGGCAGAGGGGGAGAAGGCGAGCAGGAGTGGGAGTGCGATTGAGCGGGACCAGCGAGCGGGACCAACCGAAGAGGAGACCAACCGAAGAGGAAAAGGGGCGAATTGAATTGTATAGCCGAAAATTTCAGAGCCGTTACGCGAAGCATTAGCGGAGAATTGAATGATTTCCTTTCAGGCAGCCAGCTTAAATAGAAAAGCTTAATGGGGAGATTAAATGATAAATTTGAAATTTAAATTTTAAAATCCAAAATCATATAAGATGAGTCAATTAGCCCGTGTTCAGCCCATATCCAGCCCAAGTCGAACCTGAGTTGAACCTAGGTTGAGTTCGGGCCCACGACTCGCTAATTAAAAAAAACGTGCATCGATATTCGTGTCATTTGTGCTCGCGCGTAATCCTAGCAATGCGGGTGTCCTTCCTAGCTAAAGTTGACGTTTTGAACGCGTCGGTGCAGTCCGTTTTGTCATCCAGGGTCGTCCGGACAAATTCATCGGCGGTCGGGCTAAAAATTTATCAACCTCATGCGTGATATGGTAAGTGCGTTGCTAGGTCACGGAGGGTTCACCTAAGGTCGTCTGATCCTGTAGGAACTCATTTTTGGGCCCTCTACATGTTGGTCCTTAGCTTTTGCAACTTGAAGTTGAGTGCTTGGAACCACTCATGCGAGTTCTTCACAAAAATGAGTCAAGCAGTGGTTTGAAGTTCTACGGGAGGTGGGCTCCATTACTAGTCCGCTAAGATGGTCAAAAAGGAACTCCTAGGGCTAGATTTTGGGTTCTGGGAGTAAGAAACTAAGACCTCACTAAAAATAAGGTCAACAGCGACAAGCAACAAAATTGATAACAATAAGTCAATAATGGGTAACTGAAAAGAAAACATTGGGAGACCAATCAGTGCACATAAGCAACACACCACATAAATAATTATAGTAGTAATTAGCAATGCTTACTATAATTGTGACTACTAAAACCACAAGTACTAATTAGAATTCAATGGGATGAGTTGAAACCAAAATGAGTTAGATTTAACTGACTATTCAAAATAATAAAAAAAGTATACCTCTTTCATACAGGAGGGGACATCACAGGCATATTTTAAACCGAAGGAAAACAAATTACACTGATGCAACTCACACATATATCATCATTTTATGTTTTCAGCCCAAGTATATTTTCAGTTTTACGCCACTTCCAAACTTCCAGTTATAGCCTAGAGTATTATGATAGGTATGTTAAGCTAACCTGAGCCTTAGAAGGAATCAAAGGTCCACGAAACTTCTCAGCATGTTGGAGGAAACCAACTTCTTTTTGTGAGCATGTCATCCAACGAAGCTCCCAGACCAAACCAAGATGATATAATATCTACTTAAGAACAGTAGTTAGAATATCTAATTAAGAACACTGGTTAGCAAATGTTTATTTGTTATGAAAAAAAGAATAATCCTGAATAAAATCTTCAGAATATGATGATAAAGTCATAAAAAAAAATTACCTGAAGTTTAAAAATAGTTGAATGGATATACTCAGCTGCTTCCCAGCTGGCATTTGATATAGACAACATTAGCTCCTAAATAACGGCAGAATAACGAAGTTAACAGCGTCAAGTTGAGACTCTTATTTGAAAAATTAAATGAAGAAAGGTACAAATTCCATCAGTAATTACCGTTTTTGAACCCTGAAGTTTCTTATGGAAGTTATTAAAATCCCCTTCTTGTAAAGCCCTCAGGCAGCTATTTCAATAATCAAACAAATAAAGAAAATATTAAATCACAAGCTCTAGCGAGCAAGAATTCAAATAGTAAAATGCGCAGAGGAGATTTTTGTAAATGTATAGTGAGCCGTCAACCCTGATAACATGCCGAAATTGAAACGCATACAAATAGGGAAGTTTTACTTAATTTTAAAATAGACCACATCTTTCATATTTACCGAAATTCATCCAAACAAGTATTATATAATTCTACATTTTATGTTAAAAAAATTGAAACATAGAAGTGTAGGTTAACTATTAATATATTTGGTTTTATAAAAACAAATAATTATTTCTTTTAGACTGAATGAATATACTGTTAGTGTCACGAGTTATAATGGAATTTGTGCAAACTCATAATTTATGGATTTTATTGATTTTTTGTTCATACTATGAGAATGATGCATATTTAATAATTTTTGTTATAAATAATGAATATAAATATATTAACTCCTAAACAAATTTGAATAAAAAAATCATTATTAGAAAGATTTTTATAATATTTTTGCATGTGCATGATTAGTTATGATTGAATCACCTCTTTATGAAACTAGTGAGGAAACGCTAAGGTGTCCGGCCACATAAATTGAGAAGAATATTGATACTAAAGTACCTTTACTGATACAAATTTTAAAAGGTGCTCCTGTTATGATTGTATATATATAAATGATATAGACACATTATTGATATAGTGAAATATCTTAAATATTATGAAATATTGTGAATAATCATATTCATAAACTAGTAAATGTTTGATTGTTGATTTCTTAAATGCTTAATTGACATACATGTTATGCTCTTTCATTGTGTTGCTATAAATTTAGGACTATAAATATTAACTGGCTATGATTAGCTCATAGTTATATTAAGCTAATTATTCAGGCGTACTAAGAGATTTAAGAAGATGAGTACTAAAAGAGAAAATATTTTAAATAGACATGAATAACAAATCATGAGGTGCTTTAACTGTACTACTTTAATTTACTTTTAGTGATTTTTAATTAATAAAATGTTATAAAAATAATCATCGTTCAACTGTCTAAATCTGTCTAGGTTAATTTCAAGCCCCGAGTTGGGTCTTAACATAAGTGGTTTCAGAGCCAAGTTTAGGATTCATTAATGTAATCTTCATAAAAAGACCAACAAAATTTAGGTTAACTGAAATTAATGATTACATCAATTCAAACAAAGGGATACACTCCAAATTATAGAATAAGGGAGTCTGATAGAAAATGATTAAGTATAGCCTATTATAAATGAGAATCTGAATGTCCTGACCCAGATGATGACGAGCAACGCTTAGCTAATTCAGGAGTCCAGATCACAGCCTATTGGTTATGATACAATTATCGTTGATAAATACTTAAAGATATTTAAAGATCCACATCCACCTTTTTCTAAGAGAATTGAAGATTCAATTGAAGCGGAAAATTGACTAATGCAATTTGAGAAGATATTAGATAGTATGATCTGTCCCGATGAAAGAAGAGTGTCATTAACTATATTTGTGATGGATAAAGAAGATTAAAGGAGGTGGCGCGGGCAGTGTCAAGACAGACTAGGGGCATTCCAACATGATGGTAAGTTGGGAGGAGTATGTGGAGCTATCTAGAGAGTGTTTGTACCTCAATCTGCACAAAGATAAATGCAAGACAAATTTATCAAATTGATGCAGGGAGAAAGCAGTCATGCACAATGAAGTAAAATTCACTGCACAATTATGGTATGTACCACCGTTAATCACTAATACAGAAGAAAATTGCTACAGATTCCTTTCAGGGTTAAAGTATTGAATCAGACAGCCATTAGTGCCTTTAGGGATCGATGAATACCCAGTATTGGTGCAAACTAGAAAAGTGAAAATTGATTACCAGGTTACTTAGAAGCATAAGAAGATGCACAAGAAGAGTATTGATAAAGGAGAATATGTAGAATACTTAGAGAGATTCAATGGGAAGAAGTCAAAGTTCAATTCGGGTGGATTTAGCAGAAGTACGAATTAGAGTACTGTAGTCTCTAGTAGCAAACATGGAAGACAACATAAGGTTGAATGCTTGATGGGCTTTAACATATGTTATTGATGCCATCAACCAGATTATATAGCAAGATGTTATCGACCGTTTGGCCAGAAGAACACTGAAGATTAGAAATCAAGTAGAGCTCCTTCACAGAAGTTTGAAAGTGGGCAGAGAAGGATGGAGTCTATGGCTTTAGCTCCTACCTAATTTCAACCAAGACAATCTGTTTGACATCGAGTTTATTCCTCTTCTCATAGTGAGCCAGATGAACCTATTGTTGATGGTGCTGATAAAGTCTGATGAGTTTGGCATTTTCTTAGTGTAAGAGTGTTTTCTTAGTGTATTTTCTTGCTTCAGTAACTATGTGCAATTTTAGATATGTTATCCTGATTTTGTTGAAGAGAAGAGTATACTTGAATAGTCATGTATCAGGTCTTTATTTTATAGTGATCACTTTTTATCTTAACGAATGAGTTCTAATTTTCATCATGAAATTTATAGATAGTTCATGTCAACATGTTTAGTAAGAGATGAATAATGGTCTATTTTTTAAAATTTTGAGGAGGAAAGATTTGAAAGTGGGAAAGATTGTGATGCATCGTTTCATCTAGAGGGGGAGTCGAAGAAAATGAGAAGAAGCGAACAAGCAGGAACACGAAATGGTACTTTTGTCCAATAAAGTGACATGAATGGAGGCAAATGTAAGATTGAGAGCAGGAGAAAAAAGAGAAGTTGAGTGATATCTTACTGGTGATTTGATTCCAATTGCAACGTTGAGGGCTCCGGTGTGAAAAAGGACGTGTCTAAGGCAAAGTGATGAAGTGAATGCATCGATGCTGAGTGCAAGTACCATGAGGAAGTGTGAGGAATAAGAAGCCGACAAAGCCCTAGCCAAATATTTGTGAGGAAGGGGTTCTCATATGTGGTAGTAGAGTCGATTCGAGCTGCTAGGTATGTAGAAGAAGTAGGGAGATTACTTGTGTGTGCGCTTGAGAAGAAGGGAGAGCACTTCCTGGAAGAAAGGAACGAGCGAAGCTTGCATTCATTTTATGAAAACGAAGGCATCAACAATCAAAAGTATGTGAAGGGGGAAGATAGGCGCGTGGTTGAAGCCGTAGGAGGGAGCGGCTCTGTGTGTTAATAAAATAAATAAAAATGAAGGGTTTTAAAAAGTATAACTTAAGCATTTAGGGCATTACTATTTATGAATTATTAAGGTTTAATAAAAAATGGATTAAAACTATAGAAATTCACATTTAGATCATTAAAAAGGTGTTGGTAACAAAGAAAGGTTAGGGTTTGATTTACTTTTTATTGGTTTATTAAATGTATGAACAAATATAATGAATTTAAAGAAATTAAAATTAATAATAATAAATTATTAGATAACATAAATGTATGTATATTCATTTAAAATTTAAAGTTTAGTTGAAAAAATATAAATTATATAAAATAATTAGAAAGTTAAATTAGTAGGACTACCTTTTTATTGTCAATATTTCATTTATATTATTAAAAGAAATAATTAAATTTATATTACGAAATGAAGATTATAATTACTAAAATATTAAAAGAATTACGACTAAAAGAAAAAATAATATAATAAATTAATAATGATTATTTATGCATTTGACTTTAGATTTTCATCATAGATAAGTAAAAAAGAACAACAGAGAATCATCAGTGTTACAGGTGAGTACTCATATTCTTATGTTATAGAAATATTTTAACTTCTTTTACACCAAATGCATTTACTTATTGTCACTAGTTACATTGGAATCAATGTAAACTTACGATTTATGATTATATTAAATTTTGTTTATATTGTAGGAATGATGAGTACTCAACATTTTTTTATAAATATTGAATACAAGTATGATGATTGTTATATAAATGTGAATGAAATAATCACATTTAGAAAAAAAAAAATTTATAATATGTTTGTATGTGCATATTTGGCTATGATGAAATCACCTATTTATGGTATTAGTAGTGGAAAACTAAAGTGTCCATACATGTAAATGAAAAACAATATTGATATTGATGTTAACAGCTGTAATTTATACACGGCGCTTCTATGACATTTGTACATATATAAATAATATAAATATGTTATTGATATAGTAGAACACCTTATCTTGAAATATCATCAGTGATCATACTCATAAAATAGTACAAATTTTATTGTTGGTCCATTAAGAGCTTAACTGACATGTATATTAATTTCTCTTTCATTGTGTTACTATAGTTTAGAAAAATGAGTATTCACTAGCTAGACTAATATTTCAGATGTATTTAAGCGATTTAAAAAGTTAAGTGATAGATAAGAAAATGTTTATAAAAGACACGGACAACCAATAATGAGATAAATTTAATTGTACTGCTTTAAATTACTTTCTTTAGTGGCTCTTAAATTAATTAATTGTTAGTTAAATAAAAATTCAGCTCTCATCATTTGATCGTTTATACCAGCCTTAGTTAATTCAAAGCCTCGAATGGGATAATGATAATATATATGTGCATATAATGTAAATTCTACTATGAGTACATATATCATTTTATTTCATGAAATTAAGAATTAGTAAAAGTGCATTTATTCATTAATAGATAAATACAATATATAATAAAAAAAAATTATGCTAGAAAGAATGAAAAAAAGTATATAAATGAATGTCTGTAGGTGCATGCTAAGAGGAGTCACCCCCTTATGGTACCGATAACAAATGACAATATATCTATGGGCGTATATGTTATACTACCATCTCAGACAATTATGTAACATAAATCTCTAAACGTTGTGTCGAGAGGATAATATTAGTCAGGGATGAGTCTACTAACTCAGACAATTGTGTAAATTAGATCACCAATCATTATGTCGATTGGATAATATCAGTCAGGAGTGTGCTAGGTGTGTTTGACGATGCTACTGAGATACATGTGAAAGTTAGGAGCATGAAGTAAAGTAAAGTTATTGATTAAATCTTAAAAGTAAAGTTATTGATTAAATCCTGAAATGTAAAATTTGATGCAAGTGAAGTTTTCGATTTTTTAAGTAAATGTCATTGAGATAGACATTAGATTATTATAAAATTTCTATAATGAAATATGAAACACCGACATGTAGATTATTTTTTTATATTAAGTTACTATAGTTTAGAAGAATGATTACTCTACCGAGTTATATCATTATAAATACAAATGCCTTTGCTCAGTTTATTGTTATGACCCAACTTATTTAAAACTCTAAATTTGTTACGAAAATAACAAAGTAGAGCAGTTACACTTTTAAACTACATTTAACTCGGGGAAAAGAGGGTTGTGTATGTTGATTTTTCCTATTGCATTATAAAAATTATATAATAATCTCAATAAAATATACTTCACATTTGCCCATTGAGAAAATCTAAAATTTCTGTATGCATTAACTTTATTTTGCTTTTTAATGTCTAATGATTCAACTTTTCATATACTTATTTATTCTTTAACATCTTTATTCATTTCAAGAGCACCATCTAAACACAACTTTTCCCTAGCTCATACATATCTTCTCAGCACAACTGAGCACAAAATAAGTCTACTATTATCTAAAGTGAAAATATAACTACTCACCCATTGCAAATATTCTCCCGCCGACAAGATCGTTCATCCCCTCAATTACATAGTTGTCTAAAGCGGTAGGAAAACATATACCCGTGTGATTAAGTTATTGTCCTCACCCAATATCATAAAGGGGTGAACTCCTCTAAGCATGCACATACATTGCCTGAAGCTTACTATCTAAAAGACGACTGCTGCCTACTCTGCTTCTGTTTTCTCTCTACCTTCAAAGCCAGTGTTCGATCATCTCATAGCCTCAAGTACGGTTGCAGCAGCACCACATTGCTAATGGAGAGCTTCAGTCCCCCAAGAAATCTAGCTACTGTGCTCTTCTATCTCTATCAGTTTGCACTTTAACTTAAGTGATCGAACTAGGCCTTGAATTCCTCCATTGAAAGAACCCTGTACTACAAATTGTGGAGCTTCAGAAACATATCATAATGATAGTGGGGTGGAAGGAACTTTTTATTGCATCGCCTTCTTCATCCTCTTCCGCTTAGTGATTTTCTCACAATCTTCTCTTCTCCTCTGCCTTTGTAGATTTCCCCAACATAAGGCATTATTCTTTAGTTTAATGGCAACTAACTTGACTCACTTGTCCTCTAGCACATCTTTATGCTTGAAAATCCGTTCAACTAATCGCAACCAGTCGATAAACTCAATGAAGTCCATGACTCCGTGAAATTCCATGATGTCTATCTTGATGTCAAAGGGGCCTCTTCTCCTGATCTCCTTTGGTATCAGATATCAAAATGACAAGCTCAATATTACTCTTCACTGTTATCTGCCCTGTGGAACGCAAACACGCACTATATAGTGCAAAGCACGAGCGGCTCATGTAAGTATACGTGGTGCATTAGTAGCACCGGAATTTGAGTCCCATGGTTGATCCCACTGGGAACGAAAAAAATTCACTTAGGGAAAAGTTCTAGCTTACAATTGTTAGTCCTAGCCTGAAAGATTGAGTTTTGAAGTTTAATAAAAGTTCTTACTCTAATTTAAAACGAACAAAACCTAAGTTTTAAAACAATTAAGAGAAAGTAATTATGATTAAAAAATATCCCAAGAATTCACCTTTGAAGTGGTTATGCAGGGATTCAAGTTGGCAAATGATTCATAGAAAGTGTCATGAGAGAATAACAAAATATTTCCTATTTCCTTCTGGTAGTCTAAGGTTGACGATTCACTCATTTAGTTCCCTAAATCAAATGAAAAATCGAAGATAATCTTCTTCCTAATTAATTTGCACAAACTCAAAAGAAATGTTCCTATTTCAATGAGTTCATATGGATAACTTAATCGTTCCTTGATTCCTCTCGAAATTCTATAATCACGATTAATTTTAACAAGTTAATTAGCCAAGTTAATAGTCTATGAGTTCCTAAGTTATTCCAACACCATTTAAAAGTTTCATACAAAATTCACACCACTTGTTTAACATTTATCCCTACACTTCCATAACAAAGAACAGAAAATAATTCTACTCACTGGGCATGCCAAATTTCATCAATATCAATACTGAATTAAAAGTAAAACTCATATACAAGAGTCTCAAAATTGTTTCTTAAAAAAGAACAAACACAAAAACTCGGAATACTTATCTCCCTTAAGTAGAGCAAATGTAGATGAATTACAACCACACTCTCAGGGTCTGTTTCGGGTAGCTGCAGCTTATCAATAAGCTGTTGCAGCTTAGCTGCTCCTAGGAAGCTGCTATGAGGACGCTAAAACGGATAAGCCAGCTGCAGTTTTTTTCTGCAGTTTGAAAATAACTGTGCGGCAGTAGTTTCTAGACAAATGACAATTCTGCATGCTTAAAAATGTTAATTATAACAGTACTGTCCTAGCCATATATTTGATACATCAAAAGCAAAAATTTACTTCAAAATGGTACAATATCCAGATAAACATCTCACATAACAGTGTGTATCAAGTATCCTAAAAAAAAGAAAAAAAAAATTAAAATTACAATTATTAATATGATCACATTGATTTTGTATGCAGACGATGCATGTCACGAGCTATGCCGCCCTCCGGACATACTATCCATTCTCAATCACTATCGACAGTGAAATTTACCGGACTGTCTGCCCACCAGAAGAACTCACACTTCTCAGGATTGTCTGCCCACAGCGGGCACCGGTACAACTTTCTCCTATAGATATGCGCCCGACGTGACATAAGTAGGGAAATCTGAAGTCCGCAGTGGCAGATTAATCGTTGGGAGGTCACTAAAATCCTAAAACTCATCTCTTCTAAATGTTACAAAACACAATTCATTAGTCATAACACAAGTTGAAATTGCTAAAAAAAATAATAAATTATAATTTTAGATAAGCGTGGGATCTCAAAGAACTTAGTATACCAACCAACGAATCTGTCACTATAAGAAACAGTGGACATTATAGAAATAAGGGCTTTTGGTTGCCTTTAACCCATGTAAAACCAAGCTCAAGTATATCACATATGCATATAATCAAAAAAGGTCATTCACAAAATCTTCAAAAACCATATTGTCAAAAATAAGGTAGAAACTTGTTTGCCTTCATTAAGATTTTGCATGTGACACCAACCAACAACTGCCAACAAAGCACCCAGAAGAACCCATAAGGTCAAACGTCTCATTATGAACCTCTCATACCATCCAAAAATAAATACATGAAATGCAAATGAAAAAAAAAGAACCAAGAATAATGTAAAAAGCCCAAAAAATCAATATAAAATACAATAAGAACGAAAACAAAAAGGAACTGTACAAAATAATCAAGTGAAAATTAATAAATAAAGTAAGCAATTACAGTTTTGTGCGGGTCAGAAGTCTCAGAAAACTCAGTATACCACCCCATAAATCTATCACTATGAATCTGTCAGTACAAAAAGATATCAAACCCTGTAATAAAAGAGATTTTGGCTGCCTTTAACCCACATAATACAGAGCTCATGCCTGTCACATATGCATATTGCCAAGAAAGCCCTTCTAGAAGAATCATAAAAACTGTATCGCAACAAAAAGAAGAATCGAACATGGTTGTCTTCAATATGATTTCACATATGACCCCAACCAACAACGACTAATAGAAGCACGAGTGAAGGAGTCGCCAGTAAGAACGACGGCATAGAAAAGTCCCGAAGCCATCAGCACTTGCAGAGAACGAAGCAGAGGAAACCCTTCTCCTTTGTCGCTCTACAGAGCTGACGATGCACGACGAAACAGACAACCGTGCATGAAGGTGAGCCAACGGAGCAGAGTGTAGACGAAGGATGAAGCTGACAACGCATGACGAAATAGAAGACGCGCGACGACGGATGAAACACAAGGAAGCAGACGAAGTCAAGGCGACAACACAGCTGATGCCGCACGACGCAACAGGCGAAGCACGACGAAGGAGGAAACACGATGAAGCGAAAATAGACGGAGTAGATGCCAGGATTCACCATGAGGCGAAAACCTAGCAGAGAATCATAAAAAAAGCTACAAAGGAATACATTAATAGGATATAATCAGCTTGGACTGGTTACTCAACAAGCATTAGAAACATCCTATTTTCTACTGAAAAACTATAGACACAGGAAAAGAAAAGAAGCATAGAATGATGAGGGACTATAACATGACAACAGCTTTAAATTAATCATTTAGTTTACATGCAAAGAAATAATTTATTAGCAAGGAAATAATACAGATGGTGCAGCATTAACAGATTGTCAAACGTTCAGTTCAGTACGAAACGCAACAAAAAAGGGTACCTGTGCAAACTTTCATTGAAGCAAACACGCCTTGAATATTGTCTGGAACAAGGAGAGAATTCAGTGGACACAAATGAGAAGTCCCAGTTTCCAGCTCGCCAAGCGGCCTCATACTACAGGTTAAATAAGAAGATAGCCCAAAAAAAAAGTAAAAATAAACGTATATAAATGTTTGCAATACTATTATCAGCAAAATTCAACTACATATACAAATGAGTAAAAAAGCATCTCTACCAAGTTTAAAATCCTATAGGAACGTGAAAAACCTGTAATTCTGTGAACTCAGAATCAAGCTCAATGTGCTTAACATTGGCCATCAATCCTTGACTATAAACATCCAGCACATGACTAGTACCAATGTTCTGCAGAGATTTCATCAACCCTTTACAATATTTCCAATTGATAGTTCTTCCATCATACATATGGCAGGTAGGGGAGGAATTCATGGATGTTTTTTCACGTAAGTTTCCAGTTTCCCTCACTGATTCTGATCTTACTAGCAAGTCACAGTATTCTAAAGCTTTACTCCAATTTCCTTCATGTTCAAACGTAATAAGTTGAGATGCCAACTGTCATGATAAGTCCATAAGGAGATTCCATCAATGAGTTATTGGAGAAAAAAAAAATTCCTTCCACAAAATTTTGGGTAGATATATGTTAAGAAAAAAAAAAGTACAGTTGCATAAGAAATACCACATATCACATCCAATGAATATCATCAGATGTGATAGCCATAACGAAAGAAATCTCAAGAAAGACATTTTAAAGTTGCGGATTAAAATTTTAACATACGCTTTTCTGAAAAAACATCAAGATTAATCCATGGATTTACTATCAGTACAATAGAAGCTCGTAATAAAAGCACAAAGCTTAAGGAAATAAGTCTCTACGTACAACTATTGACAGATGAACTGAAACTTTTATAAGAAGAAAACAAGCTTATTACATTTTTTGGAAACAGATTTCCAGATGAAAGCTAAATTCCTTAGTTCAGCTTACAATATGCTATCAAGACAAAGTATTGCAAGTAAAATTACATTTATATAATACACAAAATTAACAAAGATAACACTAAGATTATAGCACATGGTGTTGATTTGATTGCCATAGAAAATGGCAATCCATATTGATACCGTTCGAGAGCTCCTAAAAGGTATTTAGTAAGCAGTTTTTGTGGGGAGATTATTGTGGAATGACAAGAAAACGATAATTTGGGTCATCAACATTGTCTAGATGAAGATGGTTGCCGTTCGGCAGCTGTCCGGGCTGAAAACAGCAAAACGGAACACAAAACAGTGAGATATGGGTGGCAAGGAGATTCCACCACCTGTTCCTGAGCAAGATATAAATATACCATTTGCAAAAAGAAAATGATACGAGCCTAAAACAGATAACAACATCCCTAAACACAATAACAACTTCAAAAGTCTCTCAAAATAAAGAAAACAAAAATATAAAGTCTCCCTTGCAGAAATGAGCCTAATTAGAAAGAAAAGAATAGGAAACAAGGCCAGAAAATGAAATGAATTATGTGAATTTGATAACGACACGAAAAAGAAAATCCCATAAAAACATTTTCACATGTTGGGCGCTTCAGCACATCATGCACTTGCAGGAATCAAAAAAATTTTTGATATCGTGGGAATTTAAAAAAATTAAAATACCACCAGATTCTGCGGATTCTGCAAACATCAAATCCCACGTCATATATCTAAAACAAAGAATGACCCTTTCTATTTCTAACCCTTCGCCAAAAATGAATGGAAATAAACTATGACATCAATAATTATAGTTATCCATATTAGTAACATTTTAGTCTAAAAATTATGGTGTTAGTCAAAATTCAAGAAGATTAAATGACAAAAGCATCCTTCTGCATTTGTCACAGATCGGCATAAGAAACACCAAAGCGGATCTCCTGGTTTTGTCTCCCAGATTGGGTATGCAATTCCAGCTCCAAAAGCTAGTTGATACCCCCTTTAAGCCCTTCTTTTCCGTATTTAGAGCATGAATAATAATTTGCTTTGGTATTCAAAATAATATTTTAAAGACTATAGATAGTTCTATTATTTTTAGTTTTATTTAGTTTGAATAATATTTCTCGTTTTCTCCCTAACTAGAGAGTGGTATCTTCCTCCCCTTTCAGAGGCGTGATTGTATCTTGATCAAGAAAAGATAGATTGGCTTCCTTATCGCTCGCACACCTTGCGGTTGTTGAGAGAGTCTTTGAGTACAAAGAAGTGGTAGCAATTAAATTGAAAATAGCACTTATTTATTCTGAAAAAACTTTGCATAGTCAAAGAAAGAGAGAAAAAAGTGACAAAATTACCATATGCAAAAAAATGAAGGAGAAGCAAAGAAAATACTTATTGTCTCCTTACTGTCGAGATATATTTTTGAGACTCCATCATCTACAACAAAGAAACCTATCAGTGGAAGTGTTCACGGCACACTTTGATCGGCAACAGATGAAATATGAGTAAATCAAGCTAGAGAAACACACCATAGTTGGGCATATGGAAGATGTCCAGACCTTAACATTGAAGTTGTAGAGACGGCAAGAACAGAGCAGACAACCAAAAACATTTAGACAACCACTGGTAATTTGAAACATCAACAGGAGACCGTCTTTGAAAGTTGAGAAGACAGGTCAAGATAATGACAAATCCAGAAAAGAATAGCACGCCCACTATAGTCCCAGCCCAATAATGCTTCAGATGCAATTGACTTACGCACATTATCTCCAGTTGCCCGATGACTTCAGTTGAGTCCTTTACTGAACGGGGTATAGTGGAGAATGTCAACGATGAGGAAGCAATTGAAGAAAGGGGTGAGAAGTATCAGCTTTCATCAGATGAGGGTGAGATGCTCGTGGTTCGACGAGTCCTTCGAACTAAGACGCGAAGGGAGCAAGAGTGACTTCACCACAATATGCCGTGAAGGGCAAGATATACAACATCATCACTGTCAAAGGTAGCAATAAGAATTTGGTGTCAACACTTTGAGCCACCCAACTCAGAGGCATTCTCAATCGTACTCCCTGACGGTATGATCGAAGGATTCAATGTGATGGGCAAAAAAATACATACTTATTCATAAAGGATGGAAAGTACACCGACCTCTAACCTTCTGCGGAGTCCGAGGTGAAAGGTTTTCGTATCAATAAAGAAAAGTCGGGAGGATCCATTTTGGTGTCGCTTCCCCAAATCAATAAAGAAAAGTCGGGAGGATCCATTTTGGTGCCGGTAGAGGACGGCAAGATAGCAGAGCCAGCTTCAGAAACAGGACACTCAATACAAAAAGAGCTTCAAAAAATCATGTTCGATAAATTACCGCCATGGCCGCCACTATTTGAAGAGATTTAGGCTACCCTCACTTTAGATCAGGTTGAGCCAACTTTCAGTTACTTTAGGAGGATTTAGTAGAATATACATGACATGTAGACCAAGCTCAGTAGCGAGATCCCAAAATATTGGAGCGATGTAAATTGTTGCTAACAAATGGGAAAATGTTCTCAAGTATTTTGAGAGACAAGACAGGCATCTGTGAGATCCAAAAGCTTTTAGGGCCCAGTCAAAGAGCCTTCAGCCCCGAGAGGTTACAACAACTCTACCTATAACAGGTTGACATAAGCTTCAACGAATGAGGTTCAAGCTCTACGACCCCGGGATACTGAAGCAGGGCTCTCTTGACTGAACTAGATTTGCCCATGGAGGTTGAGCCGGTTCAACAGAGAGTGAATTAGAGACCGACCCTAGGAATTAGGGTTTCCACCAAATTAGGAGGGGGGTCCCACATCTCCTAGTTATTTACTAGTATTTATGTGTGTTTTCTGTGTTTTAGGGTTAAAATTTTTGCTTCATATTTTTTGTCTTCAGCGTCTTTTCCCATGTTAGGGTTGTATCAGAAAAAATGTTGTGGTTGTATCCCGCTCCAAGGTGATAACAACCTCCACATCCTTTCTTCCCTTTTCCACATTACCTGTTAGTATCTGTCATCCCTACCCCCCCCCCACCACCCCCACATTGTTGTTGTCGCTT